TTTGGTATTATATGTTATTATTGTTTAGTTCAAAATAGTTTCCAATTTTCATTTTCCCCCCCTTAGGCCTGGGGGTTATTTATAAATAAACTTCTTATTACTTGAACATTGAGATTTTCTTGTCAATTTTTTTCTTTCGATTCCTGTTACAATTGCGTTATAATCAGAGAAAGTACTTTGTGTTCTTTTTTTCTTTGAAAATATTTGCTGTATCACCTGGTAGTTGGTTAAATTGTGAAATAATTGTACTTGAAAAGAATGTGTTCTCTGTAGTTAAATGGTTTAACTAAAGTTGTTAAATGTATGGTGAGAATTTTCTGCATTCTTATTGAGCCTTTGTGTCTGTGTTAGGTCTTTTACTGTCAATATATTTGAGGTGAGCTCAGTTTTTTAATTGTGTGCTTAGACCGTTTATTTAATATAAACATTATGGCTTAAGCCTACCATTTTATTATTTGTTTTATGTTTCTTTGTTGTTGCTTTTCTGTTTTTCTCTCTTTGCATTTTTTACCTTTTTAAAGAATTCTGTTGTATCTATAATGTTTTTGAGTACATCTTTTTGTATAGTTTCTTTATGTGGTTACTCTGGGTATTACATCATGTATTTGTAACTTATTACAGTATACTAGTATTGGCATCTGTTTACGTTTGCTTTTAAATTTTACTCTTTTATTTATTTATTTATTTTAGTCTTATTTTTGTTTCATGTTATCAGCTTTAAAAATAATGCTGTGAGAGGGTTGAATGAAGTCTTATAATCATCTGCCATTACAAGAACTAGGTATTAAGTATGTATATGTTTGTGGGTAGTGGTATGGGATAAGGGTTTTGACTTGCTGTAGTATGTACTTTGTATGGCTGAATGCTTTGCTTTTGTATATATTAAGTTTTACTTCTCTCTCTCTCTCTCTCTCTCTCTCTCTCTCTCTCTCTCTCTCTCTCTTTGTAATCAGCTTTTTTTCTCCACTGAAAGTGTACCAGTTTATTCTTTTGTTCAGTTTGGAACAGTTATATGTAATTTATTCTAAAGTGTGTTAACTTAATTCATTTGAGTTTGAAACTTAAACATATCTTTGTCAAACCATTAATAAAGGTCAAATAAATGGGTACCGATGACACCTACCTGCACTAAAGCTATTGTCAATTACAGGGAACTTTATTTTGAATATTTTTACATTTTTGTCTTTATAAGGGATTCTGAGACCTCTTCACTTTTTTACATTTAAATGTTTCTATAAATTAATTCAAGCTTTGACACAGTGTTAAGAGAGTGCTTGCTATTGATGTCTCAGAACCATACTTTCGAGTAGCGTTGTCTTAGTTCTCTATCTTATAAACTTGGTTTTTTTTTTAGTATCCTTAAATTCCGTGATGGTGTTGAGGCAAATTTGAACTACAAAGTTGTTATCATTCCCAATTTATGATTGATTTTCATTTAGATAATAGCAGTTCAGCTTTGTGGACTTTTCTTCAAATAGCTTTAAAACATTCTTGGACTAGCATTCATGCTTTTATCCTAGATTCTACCTCAGTGTTATGATGTTTGCAGAGTGAATTTAGCCTAGTTCTTTTTACCACTTCCTTTAAACAGTTGTCTTTTTTCTTCTGTGTACCAGGACTAAAATGTCTTGCATTGATGTCCTAATAATTTAGTGCTCCAGAGCCCTTCAGAATGTCATCCTGAAGTGGAAATGCCTCAGATTCAATATGTGCTCTCTAAAGAGTTTTTATTCCTTCAAACTTTTAAACTCTTACCCAGCACATTATCAGAGTTTCTCACATAGACAGCTTACACCATTTTGTTTTTGCATTCTATCTATGTATTTTTTCAGTCCAGTGCTTGTACCTTAGTTTTATTTGTAAGTTGAGCCATGTGAAATTGCTATTTTTGAGGATAAAAATTGAATATTTTGAAAGTTTTATGTAGTTTACGTCATATGTCCTAGCTTCCATTTAAACAAGAGGTATATATAGCTTTGGGGTACTTTAAAAATGGAATATTGCAGAAAAAAGGACATTACAGCTTGAATTTCATGTGACACTGGACATTTTTCTGGTATTTCAAGTTCAAAAGCAGGGTAAAAATTGTTAATTTGATTTCAGTTATGTATTATATGTCATACAAGTGATATTGACTATCTATGGATGTTGATATTGTTGATGTTTACTTCTTTTTAAATGTAATTTTTAAAGATATCATACTAAAGACTTCTCATATCAAGGCATTTGTTTAAATACAAATTTCATTAGTGGAGCATTTCAAGGTAATTAAATGAAAATATTTAAGAGATGACCATGGGAGTGCTTTGCTGAAGTTTAAAATGTCCATGAACCCAAATGCTTCAGTGATGGTAGGGAGTAACTAGAATGTTTATGGATGGCTAAAGTGGGTAGGGAGTGATTTGGCTGCTGTTATGAGCTAGACCAGAGTAGATTTTGTGCTAGAGTGGAAAACGAATTGTTGGAAATGGCCATGGAATGGAGTGAGAGTGGTGAGTTCCCACCTAGTCCTGTAAATCTGGGGCATTAGAGAATTTAGAAGTTGAGAAGCCTATATTTGAAAGAGTTCTAAGACAAGCAGTGTCACTGAGGGAGAGCAGGGATTCCATTAAGGTAGTATTGACAAACTTTAAGGTGGTAGAACATTTATTAAAGTAGATGGATGAATTGAAAGCATTGGACAATGCAAGTCACTTTTTTTTACCACTGGCTTCTCTGATTTATACTGTCTTTTCCCCTAGTTTTATGGCTACCACTCTGCCCTTCTTGATAGCTAATGGTGCATCCCCTTAGCATTAGTGTTCCCTACCATCCAGTTTCTGTTTGTATCTCTTCTGATTGAGGTTAGGCAATTTCACCTTGTTGCCATAGCTTCAGATTTATTATTTCCCCCTTCTCATAGCTTTTGTGACTTTGCCTGTATTAATATTTACTATGCTTTTTTCATCTCTCCCTACTGTTTTCTACCTGGCAAAATTCTATTAGTCCATTAAGGCTCAGCTTTTGATTTAATTTAAGATCTAATTTTAGTTATCTAGTCCTGCACGATGCTCCAGCTCTACATTAGGGGTGGTTTCTTTTCTCTTAATACTTTGCATGCCATCGTCATCATGCTTACTATGATATATCAACTATTGACTTACTTGTTTGCTGTCTTTGCTAGACTGAACTCTATGAGGGCAAATGCTTTAGTTTTTTATTGTTTTTAGTCTTGTCCTTCTCAGTGCTTAGAATTGATAAATACTTAAATTAATAAGTTATCAATTAGATTACCAACTGTGCCTGAATTGCCATAGAAGAGAAGGTGCCAGTTCTCATAAACTTAACCCTGTTCACAGTTACCAGTAATTAAAGAAATGAGTTAAATAATAAGATACTGCTTTCAAGAGATGGTATTGAGTAGTAGTTAACAGCATGAATTCTGGAGCAAGGAGCCTGCCTTGATTTGAATTGAGCTCTACTACATACTTACTTACTTTAATCTTTCTGTGCCCCATTTTTATAATATGTAATAGTACCTATTTTACATCTGACAAAAAGTATTATATAAGTATTGTTATTATTTCACATTTTAAAACGTGTTCAGTGTATCTGGGTTAGAGTAAGAAAGCCAGTTATTTATATTGGTGATAGAAATTTAAATTGGTGTAGTGTTTCTAGCAGTTTTGTGTTATATAAGCAATATTTTCTGCTATTTCTTTTGATTGAATAATTTCATTTTTAATAATTTCATTAAAATTTGAAGTAGCCTTTTAGTAAAATATGAAAGTGAAATTAAATAAAATCTGAAAGACTCATATGTTTCAGAATTATTTGTGATAGTTTGCAAGCAACTTAAATCTCTAGTGAAAGGGGAATAGTTCAATATTGTTTAATGTTACTTAACAATTAAAAAATGATCCCACGGGTTTGAGACCCGCCTGGGCAACTTGGCAAAACCTCATCTCTACAATAAAATAAAAAAACATCAGCCAGGCGTGGTAGCGCACCCCTGTAGTTCCAGCTACTTGAAAGGCTGAGGCAAAAGGATTGCCAGAGCCCAGCAGGTCAAGGCTGCGGTGGCTGGGAGCGGCCACTGCACTCCAGTCTGGGTGACAGAGTGAGACTCCAACTCAAAAAAAAAAAAAAAAGTTTCATGTTAATGGCATGGAAAGTGGTTTTGACACAACAGGCAAGATACAAAAGTAAAACATCTTAAATATGGCTTTAAAACCGATGAGAAGGAAATGTTAAGATACAGATTTCTGGTTGCTTTTGGGTGTGGGATTTAACCTGTCAGACTAATTTTTTTTTTATAAAGTAGATTAACAACGGATATGCTGAAACTTTTGGTTAGATGTTTAACAATTAAATGAGGTAATGTGAAAGTTCTTTGGATATCTTTTTTTTTAAGTCACTTATTGTCATTGTTCATCTTTTACTTGTTTTTATTTTTATTTTTTGAGTTGAAGTCTCACTCTGTCACCGAGGCTGGTGTGCAGTGGCATGATCACAGTTCACCATTCACCAAAACTTTGACCTCTTGGGCTCAGGCAATCCTGCCTCAGCCACCTGAGTAGCTGGGACTATAGGCATGTGCCACCATGCCTGGCTAATTTTTAAATTTTTTGTAGAGACTAGGTTTCACGGTGTTACCCAGGCTGATCCTGGGCTCAAGCAGTCTTCCTGCCTCAACCTCCCAAAGTGCTAGGATTACAGGCATGAGTCACCACACTTGGGCTGTCTTTTTTAAAATTTTTATTGTGGAGTCAAGTTCTGTTGTAGTAAAGAGGTACAGCATTGTGTTTTCTTAAAGATTAATATCTACCTTTGCATTTTAACATGAGAAATTTTAGCTGTTTTTTTGTCAGTGATTTTTGTCAGGTTTTCTTCCCCCTAGTTTGCCATTAGTGCTCAGTTTTATAGAAATTTATTTTCCAAATGTAAAGTTATTTTATGATTGTGGTAATGCCATTGTGGTTTGGCTTAGATTTTTTTTTCTTTCTCTGTTTAATCTACAGCAATTGGAACAGATCCAGAAGGAGCTAAGTGTTTTGGAAGAGGATATTAAGAGAGTGGAAGTAAGAAATCAAGAATTCCTCACATCTTTAGCAATTTTTCAATTTCGTGAAAATTGTCACCTTTCCTTTAAGTTGCTGCATTAAGTTTATGAGATTGGCCTTGGTTATGAAGAAAGTAACAGATGTTACTTTAATTTAATGGCGAATGCATTTTTGTAGGAAAAAAATTTCTGAATACTTTGGCTATAAAAGGTAGTCTAAATTTGTTTTCACAATGTTTTGTTGTCATCATTTTTCTTGATTTGATTGAAAAAATTACTCAATTTTCTTAGAGTACCATGATATTAACTTTTAACCGGTGGTTGCTAACATGGAAATGATTAACCACTATTTCATTTTTGTATTAAATAATTTTTGGATATCTACTGTGTGCATTTCTAGGTGCTAAGGCTAAAAGAGACATTTGAGAATACATTACCAACATTCTGTAAATTTATAGTATAATAGTTTACTTAAAGAGATCCATGAGAGGATCCTTGGGAGACTCATAGGCTATTATGACATGAGGTTTTTGCCTTTGGCTGTATTTAAATTTAGTTTGCATTTTAAACTGTGATTTGTAGAACATGTTAAAGATTACTAGATTTAATTTTTAGTGTATGTTTAGTATCCCATGTGGCATTTCTAACTTATCACATTTATTTCACTTACTTGACAGCATGATTGAACTGAACTTGGATTAGCCAGAAATAATTCTCTCTGATTAACATCTTCAGTAGTTTTTAAAAATTTGCTATTTTTTCATTAATCAAAATGTAGCACATAAAACAGGAGGCTAGTTTGTCAGCGTGATTCAGAGACATAATTTTATGATAATGGCTGGTTAGGAGGCCTTTTCCTCTGGGTTACTGATCAAAAATTAGAGTTTAAGTCATTATTAAGCAACACTAGAATTTCAGTGAAGAGGAATGCTATTTCTCATAATGTTTTCAGAGAACATTTTTTGAGATTGACTTATCCTGTTTTGGGGCGTGGGTTTTTTTTTTGAGTTGGAGTCTCACTCTGTTGCCCAGATTGGAGTGCAATGGCCACTTCCGGCCACTGCAGCCTCGACCTGCTAGTTTCCGGCGATCCTGCTAGGATCTGGCCTCATCCTTCCAAGTAGCTGGAACTACAGGTGTGCGCTACCATGCCCGGCTAGTTTTTTGATTTAGTGTAGAGATAAGGTCTTGCCAAGTTGTCCAGGCGGGTCTCGATCTCAGGCAATCCATTCACCCACAGCCTCCCAAAGCGCAGGATTACAGGCTGAGCCAATGAGCCCGGCTTCTTTTTTCTTTTGTACTTTAAAGAGTTGAACCTGATCACTCAATTACCTTTTTCTCATATTTATCTTAATATTTATCAATAGATTATCACCTAGGTTAATGATTTGTTAGTTCAGTGTTCACATACTGTAATGTAAATCTCATTTAAAATATTTACATTTGTCTTTTCTGCTTTTGGTGGTTTCATTAATGGTGGATAATATTTATGGTTTTTTGAGAATGTATACCATAGAAAAAACTTGTCTTTTAACTTTTCAGATGTCCTTGCTTTTTGTACTCTGTGGAGAGGAAGACTTCAAAAATTTGAATGTTAAGACAAAAAGGGACTAATGAAAACCTGGGATTGGAAAGAAATATGTCATATTTCTTTTTGATTTATGTATTTTCTATTTGAAGTGTCTACTATAACCCAAATAATTATACTTTCAGGAAATGAGCGGCTTATACTCTCCTGTCAGTGAGGATAGCACAGTGCCTCAATTTGAAGCTCCTTCTCCATCACACAGGTACAAGGCTTCACACTTGTAGTTGCTTAGAATTCAAGTTACAGAGTGTGCATATGGTCGTAGTCCTTGGGAGCCTTTACTATGCAATGTTGAAACCTCTGAGGAATTACTTTTAGTCATGATCTAGAAATGAGTTTCAGATGGCCCATCTGTTTCCTCAATGCTTTGAATTTCATGCCAGGATCAGTTAGTGTGTAGAATATTATAATATTATGAACTCACAGTTGGATTAAAAGTTTGATGAATTTCTTGAAGTAATGATAGCTTTAAACATCTTGTGAATTAAAGTTAGGTGGCATTAAAAATCTAAATTTGAGAACATGAAACGATAATATTAGGGGGAAATATGATAAAGTTAAACCTTGGACTTTCCCCATAACTCGTTGACATTTTTTGCATAGGTCACTTTCCCTAGTTTAAAAATGAGGACAGCCGGGTTTGGTGGCTCAGCCTGTAATCCCAGCGCTTTGGGAGGCTGAGGTGGGTGGATTGCCTGAACCCACCTGGGCAGCTTGGCTAGACCTCATCTCTACAATAAATCAAAAATGATTAGCCGGGCTTGGTGGCTCAGCCTGTAATCCCAAGCCTTTGGGAGGCTGAGGTGAGTGGATTGCCTGTGCCCGCGGGTTCGAGACCCACCTGGGCAGCGAGACCTCATCTCTACAATAAATCAAAAAAAATCAGCCGGGCGTGGTAGCGCACGCCTATAATTCCGGCTACTCGGAAGGCTAGGTGGAAGGATCGCCAGAGCCCAGCGGGTCGAGGCTGCGGTGGCCGGGAGCGGCCACTACACTCCAGTCTGGGCGACCGAGTGAGACTCCAACTCAAAAAAATATATATATAAATAAAATAAGTAAAAAATGAGCCGGGCATGGTAGCGCATGCCTGTGGTTCCAGCTACTTGGAAGGCTGAGGCGGAAGGATCGCCGGAGCCCAGCAAGTTGAGGCTACAGTGGCCGGGAGCGGCCACTGCACTCCAGTCTGGGTGACAGAGTGAGACTCCAACTCAAAAAAAAAAAAAAAAATGAGGACCATAGATGGATCTGTTAGTTTAGCTCTTCCAGGTATTTAAGTGTTGTCTTCTGTATACTCTATTAGAACAGGAATTATATTTTTCTTGCTCATGACTATTGCTCTAGCTTTTAAAATAATACCTGGCCTCAATGTCTGATTTCTTTTAGCTCTAAAATTTTATTTCATGAAATATGTACTGTCTAAATTTGAAATGTTTATGCTTGACATGTTCAAAGTAAGAGCAATTTTACATGATGTCACTTGTTTTTCATTTGCCAGTCCGTTTAGGATAATGGTCCAATGGAGGCATTTCAGACAAATGGTTTTAGGGTAGCACATGGATTATCAGGAAGTCTAGTACTAGTACAGTAAGTTACACTAGCCTTCAGAAACCTTATCAGTTTAGGAAAGCTGTTATGGGTCTAGTTTGGTACAGTATGTGGGGGAAAGGATGGAGGGAATATTCTAATTTAGGAGCATTCTTGGGAGATTGATGTTTTTCTCTTCAACCATAGTATAGAGAATTCTTGTGCGTTATAGTCACTTTAGCGGTATAATTCAGCTGGTTTTTATCTATATCTTACTTTCTTTAAAACATCTGGGACTAAGTCTATGGATATTGTTTTCTTTAAGCTTGGCATTCAGTTACTGATATACACAGGATCTTTGTCATGTAATATTTATTGCGTGAGTACATACAGAGAAGCAAAAAATCACAGAAAATTCACTAATAAACTGACAATTCATTCCCATTGTCATATTCCTCTTTGTTTAGCAGTAGCATTTTTTATATCTTTTGTGTCCAGATCTTTGTTACTCAGTCTCACTAATTATTGGATTTGATGAACTTGTGACAGTATAATGCATTTACTTAGTTAATGTGTTTATTAAATGCCTCTGATTTACCGGACAGTTATTCTAGTGACAAAGTCCCTGCCCTTATTGAACTTACCTTTTGGGATGTTTGTAAGGAGGTTGCAGGAAATATTAAACAAATACATGACATGATAGTAGTATGTAGCATACAGATACAGTCAGGTACTGCATAATTATGTTTCTGTCAACAATGGACACACATGATGGTGATCCCATAAGATAATAATAGAGTATACCGGTGGGTGGGGGAAGGGGACTAAAAATAAAATGGAGGGCGGGCCCCTTTGTAAGTTTTCTAGGAACCTATCAGCATCAGTGTATACCAGTTAGTGTTGCTGTGAAAGGCTGTGTTCAGCTTCAGCGAATTTTTTTTGGAGATTCTTTCAACCGTTGCTTATTTTGTGATGGGTGATTTACAGGTGCACCTGCACACACCATGCTGAGTGTTCAGTAGTTTTGTTGTTGGTTTTTTTGTAAATTTATTCTTTTTATTTTATTATAGAGATGTGGGGTACAATAAAGGGTTAGGTATACAAACATTGATTATGTAGGTACCCTTGTTGATGAGGTTTTTTTTTTCTTAACCAAAAGCTACATGACCCCTGTGCCTCACCCTCCCTATCCACCTGATTTGACCCTGAGAGACTTTTTTGTTTCCCTGGATGAAAAAAGTTCTGAAAGGGAAACATTTTGCCTGTATGGAAGAGGTGAAACAAAAAATGGCAAAAACACAAAAGGACATCAGAATGAATGAGTTGAAAACTGTTTTGAGCAGTGGAAAAAGCATCTTGATAGGTGTATTATATCAAATGCAGAGTACTTTGAAGGTGACTGAAGTTTAAACATGTAAAAATAAATACACAAATTTTTATAAATAAATTTTGTGGGATCTTGGGGGGGGCCTCCCTGGTATAATGAGACCTTTATATTGGCACTTTATACTGGCATTGCAGATTAAGTAGGGGAAGTGATTGATACTCAGTAATGGTGCTGGGACATTAGTTTTTCATATGGAAAATATATACATAAATAAAAATATACATACCATCTAGATTTGTGTAAGTACACTCTATGATGTTTGTACAGCCATGAAATCACCTAACATTGCCTTTCTCAGAATGTATCCCCATTGATAAGAAATGCATGACTATAATGCTTTAGGAAAAAGTATTAGGCATTGAAGAGGTTTGCAAGAGGATTTTATTTTAGTTTGCATAGTCAGACTTCTCCAAGGAAAGTGACATTTAAGTTAACACATGAATGAAGTTAAGATTATGGAAAGTCACTGAATAGTGTTGAACACGATTGTATTTAGATTTTAAAATGTGTATTTAGGGTCCCATGTGGATGATAGAGAAGATACTGTCAGTGTCCCTCCCAATTCCCTGGCATTGCAAGCCGGGAAAAAACTTAGGCTGCATTTTAGCATTCCAGAAGAGAGAAGATGTTGGTTTGCATTAGGATTTTATCAGCAGAAGAGGTAAGAGTAGTTGTATTGTAAAAGTAGCAGATCTAATAAAAGACACAAGATGGAAAATATTTTTAGAGTATTGCTAAAATCACTTGCAGAGGTGTCATCAAATGAGATTCTAGAAGAGTTATACTGGTTAATAGTTGAAGGGAAAATAGGTAAATATTTTCTTCAAGAGTGTTTTGATATTTCCTTTAAACAAGTGATTTGAATACTATGCAAGGATTGAGAGAATCAATTGGGAAAAATGATGTAGCCCTTAAATACTCTTCTGTGAAAGCGATCCTTAAGATGGATGTGAAATCATACATGCTGAGAAAAATGTTATGTTTTACTATCTATACTCTTACTTGATTTTTTTATTTTTAAGAAATAGCATGGACTGGGTACCATGGCACATGCCTATAATCCCAGCACTTTGAGAGGCAGAGGTGAGAGGATTGTCTGAACCCAACATTTGAGACCTGCCTGGGCAACTTGGTGAGACTTCATCTCCACAATTAAAAAAAAAAAAAAATAGCCAGGCATGGTGGTACATACCTGTAGTTCCAGCTACTTGGAAGGCTGAGTCCTTAGCCCAGCAGATCAAGGCTGCAGTGGCCATGAGCATGCCACTGCACCCTAGACTGAGTAGCAGAGTGAGACTCCAATGAAAAAATAATAATAAATAAAATAGACTATAGTTGCTATCATATTCATCCTTTTTCTTTAATAATTTTTGGCTTCATTATTTAAATGCTAGATAGTTTTCATTTTAATTCCTCACTATAAAATTTTGCTCTCTCTTTTAAGCAGTAAGTTACATTATAAAATTCTTTTCTAGATTTGTTATTTTTCAATAATGAGAACCTTTATTCTATGTCAGGTCTTTGAGTCCTTTAACATAGATTTATGGTCTATGTTTAGATTATGTAATTAAATAAAAGGCAAAAAACAAAATAATGTTACTCATCTCTGTCCCCCAGGATTTTATATTCTTCCTACCTTGATAAGCTGTAATTGTCACATCCTATCAATTCTATTACTGTCTTATTTCAGTCCTTAGTATCACATGGAGTCAATCTGGCAGTGGTCTCTTAACCTATTCTGTTACACATTATTGGCAGAAATATGATATTTCTTTCCTGCTTAAAAATTTCAGTAGCTATCTGTCATATAAATTGGTTTAGATTCATCTTTTTGCATGACCCTCCATAATTGCCTTGCCCCTGCCCACTGTTTCTGTGCTTTAAAATTGTATAACTCCCAAAGCTTTTGCCTAGAAACTTTTAGATTCATCCCCCCTCAGGATGCCTTCTCTATTCTTTTTTTAAGATGCCCTTTCCCTTAAAAATGAGGGAGGGAGAAAGGGAACAGGACATAGAATTAACCACCTCTTTTGCTTTTTAAAGATTTCTACTTATTTTGATCTTGCTTTTGTAATATGTGTTTGGGGAAAATCACATTTCCCATGCTGTGTTGTAATCCTGTGAATATTGGATATTTCTTATACTTCATATTTTTATATATTTATTTATACTTAATGGGTTAAAATATAGTTTTAAATAAGTACAAACTTAACCTAGAATGTTATTTAATTTTCATAGTTTGTGAAATTTTGATTGAAGCGGTACTTTTAGTATACTTAATAAGCAAACTA